TGTCCCCAGGGGATTCACCCAATATTATCCTACGTGCTCGGGGAATTCATCGCTTGTCCCAGGGGGATTCATCCAAAACTATCCTACGTGCCCAGGGGCTTCACCGCTTGTCCCCGGGGGATTAATCCTAGCGCTACACTAACTCAAAGAAGCCTCGGCGTATTTTCCAGAAACTCCATGGTCTCCCCGGGGCATTCATCAGGTCCACCAGAGAAACCATCTGGAAACAGAAAAAACAAAGACAGGGCAGCAGAGACTTACTTGGTACGACAATTCTGGGAGGATGATATGGCGATGTGTGGTGGACGTCTCGATGCTGAAAGTTGGGAATCTTGAACGAGAAGAAGAGGAAGTGTCTTGAACGGTAGGAGTGAAAGGTGAGAAAAACAGACTCGATTCTATTTATAAGCCTAGCACGGGACTCGAGGCGTCCCTAGGGACACGAACGCCTCTACCTCTAGCTGCCCTAGCTAAGCAATGGCTGACTGACACGTGACAGCACCAAAAGCTTCACATCCGTTTGTCTCCCTTTCGGGCTCCCCGACATGCCTTCGCTCCCGATATTGTACACGATTCCCAATTCTATGCGTTGGACAAATACCTTCTCCTGAAGAGGTCCTCGACATTTCGACCTGCCTTTAAGTCATTACTCTTCCACCTAGGAGCAACGACTTGGGGGGTTCCTGTTCTAGACTGGGTCGGGATCTGCCCTTTAGTCGGGAAGACCCAACCCAATGCTATGCTGATGAGGCCCAACAAGGCCATATTTCTTCTATCAAGCACAAGCCTCAACAAAGTGCACCAGTCGGGCAAAAGACTCTCTTGACGGGGAAGCCCACGCGCTTCCCCCACGTGTCCCCCACACAGGGACACGTCAGAAAACTACCCACTTCTGAAAGAGATGGTCAGCCCATATTTCGAAGATCACAGGGCAGTTGATCCAGGGCGAAGACCACGTGCTGGTATTCATTACGCCACGTAAGCCCTGACAGTTACTTGTGTTGGGCTTGGCAATCCGGTACAATGCAAAATAACCGTTGGTGCTGCGCTGGGGCACATTATAAATACCCTCTTTCACTAGAGAGTCAGATAATCTATTGATTACACCTTTTCTCTGTACTTGCTCTCTATCTAGTTTTGATACTCACTTAGGCATCAAAGCATCTTGCAGGTACACCCTTTTTTTCCACTACACCGGTGAAGACAACAACTCACGACGCGTGACAGACTACTGATTCATTTTTAATTAGGTAAGATCATAAAGCTTAACTTCTAAAACAAAAATGTCTATATGTTAAAATCTATTTTTCTACTCATATATAGTATGGTTTGTTTGTTTCTGTTTTCTTAAAAATAATTTTTTATAGTATTGTATGTTTTATTAAAAAAAAATTCAATTTCTTTTCATAAAAACTTCAAATAAAAATTAGTTTAAATAGTTACTTTTAAAATATTATTTTAGATATTTTAATATTTTAATATTTTATTAATTTTTTTTAATAATAAAATTTTAAAAAAATTATTTAATTTTAAAGTTAATTCAAATAGTGTTTTGTAAAAATTATTTTTAAAATAATTACGATTTCGACTATATTTTAATCTTCAATAATATATATTTATATTATAAGATGTCAAATTTATTCTTTCAATTAAAAAAAAACGAATTTAGATAAAAATTATAATATTAAAAAAACATTTTTTATAAAAATCACTTTTAAAAACATAATTTTTTTAAATGTTAAAACAAACTGACTCATAACATTCTATTTCATTTTATATACAACAAATATTTTAAAAATCAGACTGGAGATCAAATAAGTGAAACACTCGAGTTAAGGTTCAATTGGTTCAACTGGCTTAATCTACGGCCGAACCATTTATTAAATAAAATAATAATATAGAACTAAATTTCATAGATATATCACACACAATCATATGTTCACAACTTAATAAAATAAATATTTTAAAAATCCATTATAAACTCAATACAACAATATCAATAATACAGATAATAACACAATATAATGGTCTTAATATCAATCTTTATTTAAGAATAATTTAAATAAATTAAAGAATAAAAATAAATTAAGTTAAACTAATTCAAACCAAAATTATAAAACATAATCACTAAAATAAAATTCAACTACTTTAGAATATCTAAATTAAATAAGATAGAATTACAAAAACAAACAATACAAGATACTTAATTGAACAACAATAAACAAATTCGAGATGAACAACGACAAACAATGAATTTTTTTTTATTTTTTTTTGTAATTGAGGAATGTTTTAAGTTTTTTATATTGACATATTAAAATTTAAGTTTTGATACATTTATTTTAATCGAACGATTTTACAAAATTGACTCTGATTCATTGGCTCAAACGATTTTGAACAGTTCAATTCAATTTTTTCTGCTTTACTTTGATTTTGATCCACTAACAATTTTAAAAGATTAATCAGACCAAATTCAATTCCAACCTCTGATCCAATCAGTTGAACCAACTAATTTCAGTCCATTTTTAAACCATTATATACAACTAGGGGTGAGAATAGGCTGAGTCGAGTTAGGATTTCAAAGCCTAAGTCTGGCATATGGCCTATCGTAGACTTGTTTTTAGGCATGAGCCTGACCTTTTTGAAGGTCTGGTTGACCTATTAGCCAACATAAAAGTCTATTGCATTTGATTCTTTGTAAATAAATAATTACATTAATGTTTAAATTGACTAAAAAAATTAAAAGATCAATGAAACTAAATGCTTATTTGCATTGACAAATACAAACTTACATATTAACATAAGTTTTTTATACTATTTGTTTGAAAGAACTTATGAAAATAATTTATGACATTGTTCATAAGATTTTTTAACTTATTTTCATATGTTCTTCAAGATAACTAAGCTTTACCTTTTTATTTTAATTCAAAATACACATAAATATAATAATAATAATAGAATTATTTCATATTTATTTAAATATGCCGGTGTGACAGGCTTAAAAGGCTTTTTTAGGACCTCTGACCTAGCCTTTTTAACTAAATAGGCTTATAAAAAAGTCTAATTTTTTTTTTATTTTAAAAAAAAGTTTGACATGTTCTGAGTCTGTGTAGATTAAACCGTAAACACTTGTTAATTGGTCTATCATATTTCCGCTCTATATACTAATGCATTTAGTTTCAACCTAAATGTTTACGATAGAATATCTTTTAATTTATTATGATAAAATTCAATTAATATTAATATATATATATATATATATATATATATATATATATATATATATATATATATATATATATATATATATATATATATATATATATATATATATATATATATATATATATATATATATATATATATATATATATATATATATATATATATATATATATATATACACTCAAGAGCACTTTAATAAATTTGAAAATTTTCAAAACTTTGCCTCGATTACCAATTTAATAATTAGTAATTGTAGTTATCCGTTAAAAATAGTCAATTATACCAACTAAAAATTAAAAACAAAATCATATTATTTACTTTTGGAAAATATTAAATTAAATTAATATAAAATTTATGTAATATTATACTGTTTAATAATATATTAATAAATACAACTACACAAAACTACCATTCAATCGAAACTTTAGAATTTTTTTTTAAAATAACAACTTTTTATAATTTAATTACCATTTAAACCTTGTTTTCAAACAAATTCCCAAACTAACAATGTTTCAACTGAAGTCAAACGCATTCGCCAATCCAAACGGCGAATTGGTCAATCCAAACGGCGAATTGGTTGGAAAGGATGAACTAATTCGCCAATCCAAACGGCAAATTGGTTGGAAAGGATGAACTAATTCGCCAATCCAAACGGCGAATTGGTTGAAAATGATGAGCTAATTCGCCAATTCGGCGAATTGGCTGAAACTCATTTTCCATTTCTTCTCTTTCGCCAATCCAAATGGCGAATTGGCCGAAAATGTTTGTCATTTTGGAAATTTTTTTGAATTATTGATTATTGTGGTAATTTAAATTTAATATATGATTATTTTAAAAAAAAATTCGAAATTTTACATCACACATATGATAAATCACTCATACTAAATTTTTAACAAATATTTCTTTTATATGATAGAGTTAATATCAAATTTTATCATTGACAAATCAAAAAATAAAAAAAAATTAATTGATTGACTGTATAAAATAATTTATACTATTAACCAATAAGAATTTATTAATATGTTATGTCATGTCATTAATAGTATCATCATTTTTAACAAATTTTATCATTGACAAATAAAAAATAAAAAAATTAATTAATTAACAGTATAAAATAATTTACACTGTTAACCAATAAGAATTTATTAATATATTATGTCATGTTAACAGTATCATCTAGTAAAATACATGAGAGTCTAAATTGATACATATCAATTAAATTAAAAAAAAAAGCTAAAATACATAGATCCTTTCTTCTTTTATAAGATAGTCAACAAAGATTTTTTTTTCTTTTTTTTTTTCTATAAATCAGTTCACATGGAAAGATACTTTAATAAGTCAAGAAAATAAAGAAAAAAAATAAAAATAAAAATAAAATACAACTAATGATTTGATATATTATATAGTTCATACACATTCTTCCAATTATCAACCGCATAACGCATTCTCCATCCATCCAATCCAATTTCGATTCTTTTTCATCTTTCAATTTTCAAAAACTTCATCTTTTCCAAAATCAACGCTCTTTCCTTGCGATTGATGGGCCATAACCTTGTTGTTCTTCTTCCATGGCAATGCAAATCTCTTTCTCTCTTCCCCTTTTTCTAAACTTCATCCTCCATAGACCACCCATTAACGCCCTTGATCTTCTCCTCATCTTTCTTCACACTCTTTTATAGCCATCAATTTTTTATTCCATTCCCCTTTCACCCCATCATTTTTTTCTCGATTCTGTGGAAAAAAATTGAATCTTTATTTTTTTTTTTTTTTGAGTTTTAATGGCGTCGGTGTTGGTTTATCATGTGGTGGGAGATCTGACGGTGGGGAAACCGGAGTTGGTTGAGTTTCATGAAACGGATACGGTGGAATCTGCGATTAGAGCAATAGCGGAGTCGCCGGAAGGGAGTATACCGGTTTGGAAGAAGAGATCTATAGGCGTGATTGAGAGTAGTGATATGAGACAGATGAGGTTCGTTGGGATTCTTAGTTCGTTTGATATTGTTGCGTTCTTGGCTAAGAGTCAGTGTTTGGAGGATCAAGATAAGGCTATGAAGACACCTGTTTCTGAGGTTGTTCTTTCCAATAATTCTTTGCTTAGATTGGTTGATCCTGGAACAAGGTAACGTCTTTTGTTCTTTTTGTTTTAGCTTTGAATTGATTTCATTGAACAGAACTTGAATTTCAGTATATGATTTAGCTAGAGTAGATTATGATCTATGAAACACCGACGCAGACACGGACACAATCGCGGACACATATATCGGTAATAATTTGAAAAGTGATGGTGATTAAATGTAAATCACGCGTGTAGTTGATGTAGGTGATAATCTCAAGTGTTTGTGCTATATAGATTATGATCCTATTAGTTTCTCTTCCTTATGTTTGTTGGTATGGTTTAAAGATTAAAGTTATGCATTTTCTTTGGTGAACTTTGCTTATTTGTAATGAATTTAGCTTAGTGAATTGTGCTATAAGGTACCAAAACATAGGTAACTATGTATGTTTCGGATTGCAGAAAATAATGGTTTGTTCAAATTCTGCTATGCGATGGTGATATAGCACTACTATAGATGCTATTTGAAAACACTTTTTGTTAAACAGCGTATTGTGGAACAATATTGATGCTGTTATTACTTCTTTTCGACAACATTGGTTTGAGGGAATGATTCTGAGTTGTGTCTGTTTAGGATCTGTCCTTTGTTCTTAATTTGTATGTTAATGGTTTTCATGGATTCATGGCAGAAGGAGCATAACGAAATTCAGAGGATATTTGTAATGGTAATAATGGTTTTTGATGCTAGGTTATCAAAGAGAAAAGGGATGTTTAATGCATGTTAATATTAATAATCCCTTTTGAGTGGGACTAGTGTTCGGTGTCTTTAAACTCGGCCTTGGCTTATGGCTACTTTTTCTCCCTAATTTAATGTTCTCTTTGTTTTTTCCTTCTCGCTTTTGCGTGGATATTGATTAATCTTTATCTGTCTCAACAGAATTTGGGACCTTATATATGATCCTTAATATAAGGTGGCCTAAAAGCCTTGAATCTGTGGCTACCGTTCCCTTTTTTAGGGACAAAGGTGAAGCATTTCTATGTAAAAAAATGCATGTATTGTTGTATTTATCAGATATTGGTATAAAGCCAAAATAAGATAAATATTCCTCTTCAAGTGTGTGCCTGCGATCACCCTTTTTATTATTACAAAAGTGAAGTAACAAAGAAATTTGTCGTGTTTGTAGTTCCTTAGAAACTAGACAGCCAAGTAACATGAAGTTTGTTTTCAAATGTGTTTGGTAATCACTTCAAAATTTTGGAAAACTATTTCTTGTTTGATTAGAAAAATATAGACAAAAAGCGAGATTGAATTGAAGTGTTTTACAACTAGTTTTAATATGCCAAACATGCGGTTAATGTATTTAATTTTTCCTTTGATTAAGGTTGATAGATGCACTGGACATGATGAAGCAAGGCGTGAAACGTTTGCTTGTTCCAAAGAGTATAGTATGGAAGGGCATGAGTAAGCGTTTCTCAGTAATCTACTATGGCAAGTGGCTCAAGAACCCTGAATCTCCTAGCAGCAGCAGCAACAATCTACCCGCAAATCTAAATTGGAACACCCCAACAACCATCCGTGATAAGTACTGTTGTCTATCCAGAGAAGACGTACTCCGTTTCATCATCGGTTGTCTTGGAGCTCTAGCTCCGATTCCTCTCACTACCATCACTGCACTCGGAGCGATTAATCCAAACTACAGCTATATCGAATCCTCCACTCCCGCACTCGAATCATCTCAAAAGGTTCCTCAAGATCCAAGTGCAGTTGCAGTAATCGAAACCACATCAGATGGTCGGTGTAAGATCATTGGAGAAATTTCTGCAATCAAATTATGGAAATGCGATTACTTATCCGCCGCATGGGCTTTAGCGAATCTCACAGCAGGACAGTTCGTCATGGGAGTTGAAGATAACGTCACTTCAAGACCACTTCCTGATTTCTGCGTCAATTCAAGATCCGGAGGAGATAATGATTTGGCTAACGGTGGTTCGAGAAAACCGAAGATATTCAGTAGCAGGAGTATCGGATTCTTCAACAATTCTGGAAACCATGGTTTCGGTTCGAGGAGCATGTATCGAGGGAGAAGTGCACCGTTGACATGTAAAATGACTACTTCATTGGCTGCTGTCATGGCTCAGATGCTATCGCATAGAGCAACTCATGTTTGGGTGACCGAGGACGAGAATGATGAGATTTTAGTCGGCGTTGTTGGATATGGTGATATATTGGGTGCTGTGACCAAACCACCTATGATCTTCACTCCTGCTAAATCTTCAGAAGGGATTCTAAACGAAATTCAGTGTTGAAGTTTGATTTTGCTTTAAAGTCCTTTATGAGAGTACTTTTCGTGTTTGTTACTTTGGTGCTAAGCCATATAAATGGGTTTTCTTGTTTTGTGTTTGAGTACAAGTTTAATGGAATAAATGTATGTTCGGATTGATTTATTTGAACTTATCAGAATCATCGTGAAAATATGTCTGAGTTTATGAAAATAATTTATGACGTTTTTAATACGAACCATTTGCAAATTAACATGGCTATTGTTTCTTTTGATTTGTTTTTTGTCCATTATTATTAGTTACTTGTCCATCCAAATGTTCCTAGCAGGTTGAAAGGGATCCTAAGATTTTGGCAGCATACATTATTGACTAAAAAATGAAAGTACCTAATTGCATAATACCATGTTGTGGAATGTGGTCCACCAACCTCTAGATATCTCTTTTTCAAGAGGTTGGGGCTGCTACACTTTTGGCCAATCAGAAAGATTAGTTATATTATTTAATATAGTGCATAATAGAAAAAACAAATTACACTAAGATATTTTGAAATTTGTTTTTTTTTTTTTCTTTCTTTTTTACATTGATTATTGTCCTATTAAGATTTGATTATTCAATTATTCTTGCATTATGCACCACTAAAAAACAAGACAATTTCTCCATCTGGGCCTTTTAAAATCTTAAACAATTATACTCATTGTGTCGTTGACAAAATTGGTAGAATAGACAATTGATCGATCTCAAAGTATGAAGTATGATGGTGGTTAAGAAAATTAGGAAATTAATTATTTTTAAAAAATCAACATGTTAATAATTAAAGGAATATACATATTTAACAAAATATTGTTGTGATCAATATTTATCTAAAATATATACTGCAATATTTTATAAGAAATGTTGATGATGACTATATATTTTGTCCACCCACTTCAATCACTCAAATGGAATTTTTAGTATAATAAAGATTCTGATTGTTAAGACTGTTAAATTAATTGAACCGAATCTCCGAATTAAATTATAATAAAGTTAAAGCTGATAGAGCAGGTTCCGATCAGAGTATTGTCATCAGAGGTTTGTTCTGGATGGAGCAGAGTCGCCAGCTGTCGCTTGCGCGAAAATAAGGTGCCGGCATGACAGAAGAGTCGCCACCTTTCGTTATTTATCCCTCAGAGCGGGAAAGGAAACGATCGGAAAAACCTGACGAAAAAAAAAGGGTAAGACAAGGTCATCGCAACCATTGTCTGGGTTCGGGAGTCGGTTACGCAAGGGGAAGGTATTAGCACCCCTCACGTCCGTCGTACTCGACGGGATCCTCGCTTGTTTGTTTACTTGGACGGGTTGGTTATAATCTATCTACCTATCAAGGCTGACTTAAACAGAAGAAAAAAATGACTCGGCAAAGCGTCGCGCTTTGTGCCTACGTATTCTCATCAAAGAATGAGAAATCAGAGTCAACGTAGTTCGCCTAACTACGGGTGAAGGATTATGGGGGAGAAGTTGCTCGCTAGGATATCGCATCCTATGCCTACGTACTTTCATCTGGTATGAAAGATCAGAGCAAACGTAGTTCGGGAAACTACGGGGAAAATGGCTCAACTAGGAGGGAGACTATCAAGCCCTACTGTTATCATGCCATGGATTCATCCTATGGTTGAGGTTTGAACAGGGAACTCCTAGAAGTTGTCATGCATAGGTTTCAACCTAAAAGTCTATCATCAAATCCTCATCTGAGGAAATGAGAGTCCTAAGGGATCATGTCAATGATACACCAAAACAGACAAAAACATCAGCTTTAACAGTAAAATGCATGCAATGCAAGTGAGGGAGGAAATATGTGTGGGGTGTCAGCCTCCACAAGCTCGTCTCAACCTCAAGCCAGTCATGACATAACAGTAATCATACTGAAAATAATCAACATACTATCAAGCAATGAACCAGATAAAGGAAATGAAGTGCCAACAGGCAAACAAAACACACATGCTTGAGGAAGAAAGAATCTACTCTCTAACCCTAATCCTAATCACAGAATCTGAACAAATCTAAGCAAAGCCCTAAAGCAAAACCTAACCAAAAGAAATCAATCCCAGTCCTCAAGCTTCAGAACAAGCTTACCAAAGAAAGGGAGCTAAGCAAGCAGGCTCATAGTGTCTTCCTCAGGAAAGCACTAGGAGGTGTATACTCAGGAGTCATACCCTATGTGGCTCAACCACTGTGATCAGTTTATATTCCTCCTCAGGAGAAATTAAACTCACAAGCAGGCTCCAACATCACTGGATATTTAGGAAATCCTATCTGAACTAGTGGAACTAAATGAATAGACTCATAGGACTTTCCTCAGGAAAGTACTAGGAGGCTTCCACTTAGGAGTTGTATCCTATGTGGCTCAACAACTGTGATCAGTTTACATTCCTCCTCAGGAGAAATTAAACTCACAAGTTGGCTCCAACATCATTGGATACTTGAGAAATCCTAGATAAACTAAGGGAACTAAGTGAATAGACCCATAGGACCTTCCTCAGGAAAGTACTAGGAGGCTTCCACTTAGGAATTGCATCCCATGTAGCTCAACAACATGTGATCAGTTTACATTCCTCCTCAGGAGAAATTAAACTCACAAGTTGGCTCCAACATCATTGGATACTTGAGAAAGAGGTGAGAAGAAAGAATGAAAGTCATTCATAGTGCCTTCCTCAGGAAAGTACCATGAACTTCCTTCAAACTTCAGGATCTCAAACCTCACAGACAGGGGACAAGCCAAGCTCTGGGTCTCTGAATCTTGATCTTCAATCTTCACTTCATGATGCTCTCCATCAAGGCCTTCAAGACAACACAAGCCCCTCAACAAATTCCCCACAACCAACCCCAGATATGAACAGATAACCACAGGGTAAACAAAATCAATAGGCAACTTCAGAAAATACCTAAAAATACTAAATCAATGGGGAAAAATCTATCAATTATTCACAAGGGTCTACAACATCTACCCATAACATCTATATAGGCCTCTACCTAAAAATCAAGACAAAACTTAATCAAAGAAAGTGAATTCTTCACCTAAGCACAACCTAAACCCTAATTAGGATACCCTAGATCAACCCTAATTAAACTAATCAAAATTTAATTCTAAAATTCTAGAAAAAATCCTATGGGGAATTATGATTCATCATCTAATTGCACAAAAAAAGAATGGATTAAAAACCTAAAGGAAAGTCCTAAAACAATTCTTGCAAAATCATGACACCAAACTAAACATTATAAAAGCTATTTAAAAGAAAAATCTATTAAAAATACTAAACTTAAAAATAAAATCCCATTTTTATTTTTAATATTTTCTACACATTATTATCTACTCATAGAAAAAAGAAGAATTAAAAAAGAGTTATTTTTCAATTTTTAATGAATTTTCTAAAACAAGAAAAATATTAAAAGAATATAAAAGAAATTAAAACAAATAAAAGGGAGGGGGGGTGTGAATAGAAACACGCGCCAGTTCAGTTACTTGGGCCAGAATAGGGAGGGGGCGTGGATAGCAACACGCGCCAGTTCAAACTATTGATGGGCCATGAGGGTGGGGGTGCGCGTAACAAAGTCTGCTGAGGCCCAAGCGCGTTTAAAAACGACCGCGTTTCGCTTTTTGAATCTTTTCCCTCCATCTTCAGACTCAATCACGGCCGTTGGATCAACATAAAAGGTCAAGTATCCCAAATGAAATAACGGTGAGGATTGCATCTTCAACCTCTGGCCTGCTAGGGTTTCGAAACAGCCTCCATGCACCAATCTTCTCCTTCATCTAGCTCACTCAATTCTCCACCATTTTCCTCGATCCAAACAGCAAACTTATTCTACTCCTCTCCCTCTACACAATCATGGTGCCATATTCTTCTAAAACTCACTCTACAAAGAACTATGGAAGATGGAAGTTTCGGGTACACTTGATTCACACTGATATGCATGGTAATGGAATGAATCCATACTAACCTAGAATGTTCTATATGCTGAGGGGATTACACTAAGCTAAAAACCTAAGAATATAACAGCCTAGAGTGCATGTTCTTGATCTCTAAAGATTCATAGCTCTGTTATGGAACTCCATGGATCATGCTGTAACTTCTAGGGTTTCATCCTCTAACCTAATGCATCAATTCTACATCTATAAAACTAACTAAAACTGCATAAATTAAGAGAATTAGGGAGAGAAACCAACCTGTCAAGTGATGATGGTAGGTGCTCGTGGAGGATGATTCAGGGCTTGTAACTGCTTCAGGATGATCCTCCAATGGTGGAAAGGCTTCTGTTTGCACTTGTTGGGAAGGAGATGGCTTGTAGATGCAGATTTCTTGAGTTGCTTGAACTTGAAGAAAGTGCTTCAATGGCTATTTCTCTCTCTCTCTCCCTCCTGAAATCTCTCTCTATCACCAACCTTGAACTCTCTTCATGGCCCTCTTCTTATAATGATCCTCAGATGCTTCTAGATTCATCTAGAATATGGTGGAAATTTCTTGAAAATCTCATGTGGGGACAAGTTGAATTTCCCTCATCTCATGCCTTATGCCTTACCATTTTGTGCCAAATTCTCCTTATGAGAGATATTGAGTGTGGATGAGTGAAAAACAAGCTCATCTTTGGCTTGTGTAAGGTTTTTCAACATTGCCTTCTTTTTCAAGTAACAACTTTTCAAAGCATCACCCATTTTAAAGCTTCAAATCAAAATTATAGCTAAACCAATGTTCTCAAAATGATTTTTCCAATCAAAATGATATATTGGATGACCTATTTTGGATTTGTGGATCTTCCAAATCAATTTCCAAATTCAACTTTTCAAACTTATATGCCATTTTTAGTTCATTTTTGACCAATCATGTAACTTCATGTTATGAGCTTTTCCAACAATTTGTGACCTTTTTTCTAGACTTAAAATCACATTTTGAACAACTTTCATGTTTTGAGTTTTTTCATTTGAGGCTTGGAAATAGGAGTTTTAGGCATTGGCTAAAATGACCTATAATTGACAAATGACCAAAATACCCCTG